AAAAAAATTTTTTAAAAGTAGAGATGGGGTCTCACTATGTTGCCCAAGCTGGTCTTGAACTTCTGGACTCAAGCAATCCTCCTGCCTCAGCCTCCCAAAGAGCTGGGATTACCATGCTGGGATACTAAGGTGTGAACCACCATGCCTGGCTGGGGATTGCAATTGGAATTTCATTGTCTCTGTAAATCAATTTGAGGAAGATATTTACAATATTGAGTCTTTCAATTTTTACACATGGCACATCCCTCCATTTACTTTATCTCTTTTTAATTTTTCTCAGTATTTTGTTTTATGTGGATAGGTCTCATACATCTTTTATTAGACTTTTCCCTAGGTATTTGATTTTTTTGTTGTTATGAATGGTGTTATTTTTAATTATTTGTTATATAGATATGAAGTTGACTTTTGTGTGTAATTGTTCATTAAACAGTTAAGAGATATTCCTTCATAGCTAGGGAAGATTGCATCCCCAGTCTCATTTAATGTCACAGATAAACTTTTTATAAATAAAAATAGAGAAGGCTAAACATCAGCTTTGTTCGCATTCCTCTCTTACTGCTTTAACTTAGTCATATGCCAGCTAAGGATTGGAACATGGATTAGTAAAAATCCTGCCAAACGTTCTTTTCTTTACCATTAAAAAAAAGTTCCAGTAGCTCCATTATTATTATCATTATTATTACTTCAGTAAGTGTCTGGTGAGCCTACTATGAATAAAACACTAGGCTAGAACTGTAGGGAAATACAGATAAAGTAAGAAAGAGACATTTTTAGGGACCATCCAGTCTAGGGGAAAAGGCAGATATCCAAACAAAACTGTAGTTTGAAGCAGAAAAAAATACATACTGTTTTGGACAAGGTAAAAGTAAAATGCTTTGAGAATGAAGAAAAAGATATAATTAGTTCTAATTGATAGAACCAGTAACAGTAAGGAGGGGATTGGTATTTGGTGCAAGTCTCTCTCGAAAGATGAGTAGAATTTATTAAGAATTGGAGAAATATTGGGAAGCGGCTAGGGGAAGTGTTGAGAAGTGGCTAAAGGGATAGTACTAGTAAAGGCATGGATTTAAGAAAGTGGTATATGAATATTGACATGTAGCTTTATGTGAATATTGTGAGGACATGGGAGATATACTTTAGTTGAGGCTGAAGTAAAAATAGAAATCTGTTATAAAGGGTCTTAATGTCATATTAAGGAATTGGGACTTCGGTAGGTAGTGAGGAACATGACATCTCTGCTTATTCTTTGTTGTTACTTTGTCAACTCCTCTTTTGATATTTTGGTACATAGATCAAACATAAATGTAAACCTAAAGATTTTACTGAGGAGTTTTCCATCTTGACTTGTTTTTTTTTTTTTTTTGCCTTGTTCAGCTTTATGCTTTAGGTAATATCTTATTCATTTAACATACATTTTTTTGAGTACTTAGTAGGAACTAGGGACACTACAGAAGTATATACTTACTAGTCCTCATGATACAGTTACACAAATAACGATATAATTATATACCGCAACAATTCTAAAGAAAAAGTTTAGGGTATTTAGAATGTACATCATGGGGACTAGACTTAATCTGAGAGATCAGGGAAGGAAGGCTCCTGCTGGGATAGTAGAAGCGAACTGGACAAAGATAAGGGGAAGATTTAGTCTGAGGGAACAGGAAGTGTGTGTGAAGTGGCCATTGGAGAATGTAAAGGAAGGCAAGAAGGTGAGTGAGGGAAGAGGCTGATATGAAAAGAGACTGGAAACATAATAGGTCACACAGAGCCTTACAGGCCTTGTTAAAAGTATTTATCCCAAGAGCTAATGAGAATTTTTTTTTTCAGATAAGCAACATTATCAAATAGGCATTTTTATAATATCTCTATGCATATGCACAAATATCTGCTTATATGTGCGTAGATATATGCATAAATATCTGCTTATATGTGCATAGAACATTTCTGGAAGGACTTACTAGTAGTTGGTAAGACTGGTTGTCTCTTGGAAGAGGAACCAGGGATCTAATTTTTTTGGAGGAAAGCTTACTTTTAAGTATGTACTATTTTGTAGTATGAATTTTCAAAAATCAGTTATTAGTGTGTGTCAATTATTAGTTCAATGTCAGTTGTTGGTTTAATGAAAAGATGTCTAAAGTTGTGAAGTAGGATGGCAGTGGGGGATCAAAAGTGACAGGCAGGGAGAATGTTTATAGGAACCAGGTAGATAGTGAGAAATGGACCTATCTGCCATATTCTTCTTCAGAAAGAAAACTGTATATAACTCGGTGGTAGATGATGGATTGGATGTGTATGAGATAAAAGAGGAGAGGGATATTAAGGAAGACTCCCTAGGTTTATAACTTGTGCTTCTGAATCAGGTATGATGTTATTTACCAAAATGGGAAACAATAGAAAGAGGTCAAGGTATGGGAGTTAGGGTGGGGGTCATGAATTGAGTTTTGGGCATGCCTCTGAAATATTACAAGTGTTGATGTCAGGTAAACAGTTGGTTACATGGGTTTATTGCTCAGGAGAGGTCTGGGCTAGTGATAAAATTTTGAATGTAGTCAGCATGTAGTTGCTAACTGAATCCTTGAGTTTGGATGAGTGCTTCTTGGGAGAAATTATAGAATAAAAGTGAGACTTTAGGAATATTAGAAAGAGACAGTCCTTTCTTGAAGAGCATAAAGAAATGAGATTTCTCCTAGTTATGTGACTCACATATTCATTAGTTAGTCAAACTTAAAGTATACTAATACAGAATATTCTTCTAGGTGGTAGTATATTTTCATACAGAAATAATTGCTAAAAAGAGAAATATGTGTTTTCATCTGATGAGAGGAAGAATGTCCCAAATTAATAGATGATCTTCAAATGAAATTTTTTGCATGTGAGAAAAGTAGTTATTTTTTTTATTTATGTTTTACAGCAAGTGAAGTCTTCTGTTGGGGACAGAATAAATATGGCCAATTGGGTTTAGGCATTGACTGTAAAAAGCAGACTTCGCCACAGCTGATTAAGTCTTTGCTTGGAATCCCTTTCATGCAAGTTGCAGCTGGAGGAGCCCATAGTTTTGTCCTCACCCTTTCTGGAGCTATCTTTGGATGGGGACGCAACAAATTTGGTCAGCTAGGTCTCAATGATGAAAATGGTAGGTTCTCATTATTTGTAGTTTAAATGTACTTTTTAAAAAGAGATGGTCTTTTGAGATGGATCAGTGATTCTTAGTGTCAGAGAGAAATGTATCCAAATCTTCCCTGGGATAGAGGTGAGGATGAGATGTTAATTTAAAAATTTCATTTGATAATCATATTTTTTGAGGTAGTAGAAGGCTAAAAAATATAAAATAAATATAACAAATATATCTGGACAAAATCTTTATTGTTGGATGTTTGTTAAAAGATAATTGAAAAACATTTCTTAAAATGGGTGATAAAAGTTTTTCCATTACTGGCCACCATCAGTGGAAAGAAGCTATAAAATTATTCTAGGGAAGTAACATGAACTGTTTCCTATTTGAGTTTTTCAAGAAAATATTTAAATGATTTGGATTGTTAAATTAATCTTTGGGCTTTACTTTTAACACTGATGCTAGTGTCTTGGAAATAAACATTTTGAATTTGAAAAAATTATAATTACTTGAAATAAGCTGGGATCTTAGAACTGGTTTTTCATAAGTACATTAGGTCGAATGCTAATACTTGACCTACAAAAACTAATTTCATAAAGTTCAGTATAATTGTAATGACTGAAATGGACAAAAGTGAGTTGTTGATCTAGTAACAACTGGTAATGATCAACAGATAATACTCTCAGAAAGAAAGAATACTTTGTTCTGCATAAGAAAAGTATGTCAGATTAAGACATTATATATCTTTTCTGCTACAAAATAGCAGAAAGTATAATTTTCAGGCTTTTAATTAGGATTCTGTGAACATAATTATCATGAGGCAAATTTAAAGAATGTTGTGTATATATGGAAAATTAGAAGCAGTTGAATAGTTGTGAAGTACCTTGATTGCTGAGTCCTGTGCAGACTGGCATATTGGATATTTAACACTAAACTCTATTTTTAAATCCCTCAGTATTGCAATAGCATGGATAGATAGACCTGGGAACTCAATTAAATAGGCTTGTACTGCAAAGTCATTGAATGATAGTTAAAATTATTTAGTCATCACTGTCTACTGAGCTTTGGAAGCTATAGAGAAAACCCATTTTATAAGAGTTTTTTTTATAAGAGTTTTAATTATGAAAATACTGTTAACATCTCCTTTTGGAATTTTCAGATAGGTATGTTCCTAATTTACTAAAGTCACTAAGATCTCAGAAAATAGTTTATATTTGTTGTGGAGAAGATCATACTGCTGCGCTAACCAAGGTATTGTACTTCTAAAATTTCTTTATCATTACTCACAATAGTTCTTTTGTAGTGAGTGTTTTCGCGATATTTACGTTAAAATGTATTATTAGTGTTTCAAAAATAATTTATCTTGAAAAAAAGCCTAGATTATTATTCATTCTTGAAAATACTTAACCCTAATTTTCAACTTTGTGTTCTGTTATAAAATGTGAATTATGATACACTAGTACATATGATGATAATATTGTTAAGTTTCTCAGCTTCATACAAAATACTGCTTAAATAATATTTTGGATAAACTGATTCCATTTTAGTTCATCAGGCTTGCCATGCTGTATCAAACCCATTTATATTATATAGCTCTGCCTAATTTGAATTTAGCTTCCATTTGGCTTATAAATATTTCATAACAGGTAATAGAGGAGATTGAATCTGTTATTCATAGGCCAGGTATTGTGCAAGGACTTACAGTGAGCTTTCATCGCAGTCTTGTCAATGGCTTTGACTCTGACCTCTCCCTTTCTTGGGTAATGCCAATTCAGTATCAGTATTGCTTAGTCTCTAGGGACTGTAAGTTAAATGAAAATGAAAACATTCAAGTAACCTCTACTGGATAATTATTTATTGTAGTCATTTTAACGTAAAGGAACTGGAAGGTTTTCATTGGCCAAATTAGAAATTAATGTTTTTATTTCTATGTCTTTCTTTGTCCTATGTAGTAGATAAAATTGGTAAAATGAAACGAACTTCTAAGCAGACTTAAAAGTTCTACAGTCTTCTCCCACACTGGGAATTTTAGCATGACAAGAATTATTTAACAGTCACTGTCAGATATAATGAACTCAGAGCACTTTAAAAAATATAATGATCAATAATAAAAGTTAATATTAAAATATCTTATATTGTCTTTTAGTAAAGAAGTTTGGCTATACGTACCAATCTTAAATTATTATACCATATTTTATTGAATTTAGCATTAACAATACAGATGTAATCACTGAAGTCTTACTTGGCACGTTTTAAATTTTAGTCATTCTTGTCTGTCATTGGTATTTGGAAGAAATAAGGCTATGTAGAAATGATAGTAAACATATTTGATATCAAAATATAAAAGATATTTTGTGTGGTATCATTCCAGAAACTAATTTTGTGGTAGAAAGACTCACAATGTTAATGCTTTCCAAATTCAGCCTTTCACATAACTACTCATCTTAATGTCCCAGGATACGTAATTATTTGTATCTGTTGAGTTTTTAAAAGTGCTAATTCTGCTAATTTTCTTTATTCCCCTCTCAGAAGATAGTAGCTGATATTTTTTTCCACTGGAATTTTTGGTGTACGTTATTTTTAACAAAATCAGATAGTTTTAAATATTCCTGAAGTAAAATATATATTTTCTCCTGATTTAAGGCAAAATATATATTCCATATCCATATATCTTTTGCTTTTCTGGAAGAATTTCTTGTAAATAGATTAAGATTGCTTTATGAAGCAGTTTTCTTGTGCAAAACCTACATTAGGAGAACTACATTAGGGACTTTTAAAAACAGATTAAATGGAAAGACATGTCATGTTAATAGATACGAGGATATGTCTATAAAGATGTCATATTTTTACAGGTTATTTATAAATTTATTATGTAAATCACATTTAGAGATAACTTTTTTTTTTTTTTTTTTTGAGACATAGTCTCACTCTGTTGCCCTGGCTAGAGTGAGTGCCTTGGTGTTAGCCTAGCTCACAGCAACCTCAAACTCCTGGGCTCAAGCGATCCTACTGCCTCAGCCTCCCGAGTAGCTGGGACTACAGGCATGCGCCACCATGCCCGGCGAATATTTTCTATATATTTTTAGTTGTCCAGGTCATTTCTTTCTATTTTTTTTAGTAGAGACGGGGTCTCACTCTTGTGCAGGCTGGTCTCGAACTCCTGAGCTCAAACAATCCGCCCGCCTCGGCCTCCCAGAGTGCTAGGATTACAGGCGTGAGCCACCGTGCCCGGCCTAGAGATAATTTTGATTTAGCAATCCCACTTTTAAGAATCTACCCCCAAAATACGAAATTAAGTATGCACAATTTATTGTGGCATTATTTTAATAGTGATGAAATCCAAATGTCTATTGAGTATGAGCTTAGTTGAATAAATTGTGGTATATCCATGCAACGGAGTATAGTTAACTATAAAACAGATTGAGGGAGATCTCTATTTTATGCTGTAGAATGGTCTCCAGGATATATTGCCAAGTAAAAAGAGCAAGGTGTATAATAGCTGTCTTTTGTGTGTATAAAAAAGGGAGTAAAATATAAACACATTGCGTGCTGTTTATATTTTTAAAATAGAAGAATAAATTTAAAATTAATAGCTAAAAAAATGTACCTTGCCTTACAGTTTTGATTTTAGAATCTAGAAACTGTTATATATAATTAAATTTTATACATAGTATATAAATTATACATAAAAGTTATATATATTATTAGTCCTTAAAAATTGAAAACAAACAACAAGTTAGTGGTACAACTACAAAAACAAGAATTATTTTAGGTGATTTTGAAATACAGTATTTCTCTGTACATCATCACTAGGGGGAAATACACTAAGATAAACTGAATCCACAAAGAAGTCTTAAACTGCCTTCTGTAGTTGTATTGTTACTGTCTTTTCCAATGTTACATCTATAGGATAAAGCAAATTGGTAGTTATTTTACCGTCATTAGAAATAGGATAGGATAAAAATATATATACATCCCGTATATAAGATATAGCAAGTAAGTAGTTATTTTACTATCATTAGAAATTATGATTTTCAGCTTTAAGAGAAAAGAGATAGGTATAAAATTATAGGAGTTAAGTTAAAAATTCTGTGATCTTTAATTTGAATCACAAGTATTGGTATGAATTCTTGATTTATTTTTCTCCTTCCAAAAATATGTTGTTTTTGTTTTGTTTTTGACGTTGTCATTGAAAGAGTCCCAGAAGTAATGAACCATGTGCAATCTAGATTCAGTGAGCATCCCTTGATTGTTGTAGATTCTCCCTTTAAAGGAACCAGGGCTGCTTGCAGAAGAATCTCGATTCCATGTCTAGGGCAAAAAAATGTATTAAGAATACCTTTGGGCATTTTGCAGTACAAAGAAGCAAAGATTACTAGGCTACGGTCCTGTCAGAAGGACAATTTGAAGGAGCTTTCACTGGGTATCAAAAAGAAATGATGACTGCAACAAATGGAAATACATCAAATGTATAAAAATCCATGAGATTGTATTGATTAATCTTCCTCTCCCCCAGATCAATACAAACAATTTATTGCTTACTTTTGGAAGTTGTTAGGACAACTCATTTTTTTTTAAATCGGTAAATAATGAGACAGAAGTAAGTATTTATCCTGCCTTTCATTTGCAAATTGTATTTCAGGGTAATTTAATAGTTGATGAGTCTAAGTTCTTTATAGAACATTTTCAGCTCATAAATCTAGAAGAAATAATAAAATTAGAAAATCACAATTTTATGCTCCCTGATGAAATAATGGATCTAGGCAAAGAACAATAAGCTTAATGGGGATGGATTAGACTGAGTACTTTGACCTACTTATTTGTTTTTAACTTCACTAACAAGACACATGCTTTGTGACACAATGCAGTTAAACAATCCAGGAAACTTTAATCATGGCCTGGATTGTGGGTATATATTTTTATCTGTTAGAGATATATGTTGTTAAAGATATATACACATTTATGGGTGAAATAATTTGATGACCACAATTTGCTTTAAATTACTGCAGTGCTTTTTTCCCCCCAAAAAGGAAGGGTAGTGCCTTAATGAAACAAAATAACCAGCGTTTTGCCAGTTATTGAAACTGAGTGATGGTTATATGATGATTTACTATATTTTATCTTTACTTTTGTGTATCTGTTTGAAATTTTCTATAAGTTTTGAAAAGTCAGTTTTCTTATACAGCAATATAAATAAGAACTTAATGGTATTAAATAATGAAAGCAGGATATAGAATTGCATATGTAGCTATAACTGTGAAGAAAAGCAGTTGAACTGAGAAATACTAATTGTGGTTGTGTTAAGTTGTCATGATGGATTTTTAAAAAAATATGTAACCTCTAATTCAGTTATGTGTTTATAAAATGTAATAAAATTTTTCGAAGATCATCTCTATGTTACAGCAGCTATATGCTAAAAATTGCTGTATTTGTACACTTTGCTTACATGTACTCTTTGCAAAGCGTTTATGTTCAAAGCATAGCTAGCTTGAAAACTGAAGATAATGCCATTTTTAGGTTTTGTGAGATTTTATAAATGTGTACTTGGAATTCAACAAGAGAGTATAATGATAATGAAAGGCAAAGAAAATAAATTATTAGTATCTTTTTAATGATGATTTCAACGAAATATTTTATAATGGTTAAAACATCATTAAATACTTTTAAAATACATGAAAATACTTAGTGTTTAACCTGGAATTCTTAGTTTTAAGGCATTTTACCTTGAAAGAGTTAGCTATCATCTGTTGAGTTGTGAAGACAATTAAAAGAGAAAAAATTGAGTCCATATTAAAGATTAATTTATTTTACTGGAGATCAGTTATTTTCTTATCAGTCCTTCTAATGTTAAGGGGTTTTGTCTTTTTTTAGGAAGGTGGAGTGTTTACTTTTGGAGCTGGAGGGTATGGTCAGCTGGGTCACAACTCTACTAGTCATGAAATAAACCCAAGGAAAGTTTTTGAACTCATGGGAAGCATTGTTACTCAGATTGCTTGTGGAAGGTAAGCTGTTATATAAAAGAGCATTTTGGTCTGTATACTATAACTGATTAGGGATTGTTTAATGAATTGTTTTAGGGACCTAGTAATCTTAGGTGAAACATTCTTCCCAGATTGTCTGATTTGCTTTTGAGGAGTCATTGTGGCAGGAGAAACATCTTTATACTGATTATTTTACCTATCTCTACTTGAAACATTTAGCTGAAGCAAGATATTAATAATGTAATACTGTATTTGTTGTATTTGGCATCACATTCTATCTGAAACTATAGATCCTCTTTTTTTCTACCTTTTTTCCTTAAGAGATGAGGAAATTGATCAGTTATTAAGACAAAATGAGTTAGTGGTTAAAAGTTTAATTGGTATACTGATCTCCTGAGTCTCAGTTCTTGGGAATAAATAGAAGAATCTTTGAAATTGAGCTTCATCTTTGGGGATATTACATTGAGGAGACTCCTAAGTAGCAAAATGTACCTTTCTTGACCACTTAACTTAATTTTGACCACTTAGTTTAATGTTTTTCTACCTTGTATGTATCCCTGTATGATCTAGTTTAGTTTTGGCGACTATTAGCTTCAAACACATAAAATCACATTATAGGTATTCTTTGGTGACTCATTTTTTCCCTCTTAACATGCTTGTATGATTTTTGTATAGTTAGGGTTCTCAATCATTAAGTCTCATTACTGTGTTTTATTCAGTTATATGCATATATGATTTATTCATTCTATTGCTGATGGACATTTGGGTGTTTCCGGTTTTTGGCTATTACAAATACTGTTATTATATGGTATACATAAACCTTCATATACACTTAGAATTGAATTGCTAGGTTACTTAATTTGAATTTTGTATGTTAAGTTGTATTTTCCAGATTAGTTTTTTGAGTTTACATTCCCATTAAGAGTGCATGAGAATTCCTGATGCTCCATGTCCTTGTCACCATTTGGTATTGTCAGACTTCTAAATTTTTGCTCATCTCTTGGATATTTATTGTTACTTTATCATAATTATAATCTGCGTCTCCATGATTCACTTGAGTACCTTTTCATATGTTTATTTACATTTCCCTGGGATATAAAAAAATTGATTTATAGTAGTTTTTAATGTACTGTGGTTACAAGTTCATAATGTATTGTTTCCCAATAAAGGGGTAAAAGTTCTTTGTTGGGAATATATTTTGCAGGTGTCTTCCCATTCTTTGTCCTGTCATTTTCATTGTTGTCTTCTGATGACAAAAAGTTTTAAGTTTTAATGCAGATGAATTCATCAATCTTTTACTTATGGTTAGTGCCATTTACTTCTTAAGAAATCTTTTCCTACCTGAAAACTTAAAGGTAATCATCTCCTTTCTCTTCAGAAACATAGTTTTGCCTTTTGCATGAAGATCTATAAGCTATCTAAAGTTAATTTTTTTTGGGGGGGGAAGGAGGTATAATCTTAAGAAATCAAATTTTTTTATATGAAATATGAATAGTCAACTACCCTAGCACCATTTAAACAAAATTTTTTTGTGGTAAAATATATACAAGTTTACCATCTTAACTATTTTTAAGTATACAGTCAGTGGTATTAATAAGTACATTCATATTGTTGTCAAACTCACCACTCTCTATCTCTACAACTCCTTTCATCTTGCAAAATTGAAACTCTATACCCATTCAACAATAACTCCTCATTCTCCCTCACCCCCTCACTCCTGGCAACCACAATTCTACTTTCTGTCTATATGAATTTGACTACTCTAGATACTTCATAAAAGTGGAATCTTAGAGCATTTGTCTTTTTGTGACTGGCTTATTTCACTCTGTATAGTGTCCTCAAGGTTCATCCATATTATAGCATATGTTAGAATTTGCTTCCTTTCTAAGGCCTAATAGTATTCCATTGTATGTATATACTACATTTTGCTTATCCATTCATCTGTCAATGGATACTTAGGTTGCTTCTGTGTTTTAGCTATTGTGAATATTACTGCTATGAACATGGATTACAAATGCTTTCAGTTCTTTTGAGTGTATACCCAGAAATGGAATTTGTGGATCATATGGTAATTCTATTTTTAATTTTCTTAAGAACTGCCATACTGTTTTCCATAGTGCCCACACTTTTTTCCCACAGCACTGCAGAAGGGTTTCAATTTCTTTACATCCTTGCCAACACTTGTTATTTTCTGTTTTGTTGTTGTTGTTTTGATCATATCCATTCTAATAGGTGTAAGGTGGTATCCTATTGTGGTTTCATTTGCATTTCCTAATAAGTAGTGATGTTGAGCATTTTTCACATGTTTATTGACCATTTGAACATCTTTGGGGAAATATCTATTTAAGTCCTTTGCCCATTCTGGAATCTGATTATTGTTGCTGCTTTCTAGGAATTCTCAATATATTCTGGATATCAATCCCTTATCAGATGATATATGATTTGCAGATATTGTCTTCAATTCTGTGGGTTGCCTTTGTATTCTGTTGTTAATATCATTTGATGCACAAAAGTTTTTAATTTTCATTAAGTCCAGTTTGTCTATTTTTTTCTTTTTTTGGCATGCCTTTGGTGGCATATCCAAGAAATTGCCAAATCCAAAATCTGGAAACTTTCCCCTATTTTCTTCTGAGAGTTTTACAGTTTTAGCTTTTACATGTACGTCTTTGATCTGTTTTGAGTTAATTTTTATGTATGATATAAGAGTCTAGCTCTATTCTTTTGTATTTGGCTATCCAGTTTTCTCAGCACTGTTTGTTGAAAAGACTCTCTTCCCTCCATTGAATGGTCTAAACACAATTATCAAAAATCATTTGAAGCATTCCTTTATAGAACTGGAACAAGACAAGGATGCCCACTATCACCGCTTCTATTCAGCATAATGCTGGAAGTCCTAACCAGAGCATTCGGACAAGAGAAGGAAATCAAGGGTATCCAGATGGGGAAAGAAGAGGTGAAACTATTGCTCTTTGCTGACAATATGATTTTATATCTAGAAAACCCCAAAGACTCAACCAAGAGACTCCTGGAATTGATAAATAAATTCAGCAAAGTCTCAGGCTACAAAATCAATGTACATAAATCAGTAGTTTTCATATATGCCAATAATAGTCAAGCTGAGAATCAAATCAAAGATGTAGTACCTTTCACGATAGGAACAAAGAAAATAAAATACCTAGGAATATATTTAACTAAGGTGTTGAAAGACCTCTATAGGGAGAACTACAAAACACTGAGGAAAGAAATTGCAGAGGATGTAAACAGATGGAAAAACGTATCATGCTCATGGATCGGCAGAATCAACATTGTTAAAATGTCTACAGTATTCAAAGAGATTTACAGATTCAATGCAATCCTCATTAAAATACCAAAATTATTTTTCGCAGACCTAGCAAAAATAATTCTACGCTTTGTATGGAACGAGAAAAGACCCTGAATAGCTAATTCAGCCTTATGTAATAAGAACAGATCAGGAGGCATCACTTTACCAGACTCCAAGCTATACTACAAGACTACAATAACCAAAACAGCATGATACTGGCACAAAAAAACAGAGACATAGATCTATGGCTCAGAACAGAGAACACATATATGAATCCATCCTCATATTGCCATCTGATCTTTGGCAAAGCAGACAAAAACATAACACTGGGGTAAAAAATCCCTATTCAGTATATGGTGCTGGGAAAATTGGGTAGCCACATACAGAAGGCTGAAACAAGCATCTGCACCTCTCACCACTCACAAAAATTAATTCATTATGGATAACAGACTTAAACCTAAGGCACGAAACTATAAAAATTCTAAAAGAAAATGTTGGAAAAACTCTGTACATATAGCAGTTTAGGCAAAGAATGTATGAAGAAGACCCCAAAAGCAATCACAGCTACAAAAAAAATAAATGGGACCTGATCAAATTAAAAAGCTTTTGCATAGCCAAGGATACAATCAATAGAGTAAATGGAAGAAAACAAAAGGGCTGATAACCAGAATCTACAAAGAACTCAGGCAAATCAGAAAGAAAAAATCAAACAACCCCATTAAAAAGTGGGCAAAAGACATGAACAGAGACTTTTCAAAAAAGACTAATGGCCAACAAATGCATGAAAAAATGCTCAATGTTTGTAATCATCAAGGAAATGCAAATCAAAACCACAGTGAGATACCACCTGGCTCCAGTGAGCATGGCTTTTATCAAAAAGTCCCAAAACAACAGATGCTGGCAAAGATGCAGAGAGAAAGATACACTTATACGCTGTTGATAGGACTGCAAACTAGTACAACCTCTATGGAAAGTAGTATGGAGATACCTCGAAGAACTAAAAGTAGACCTACCATTGGATCCTGCAGTCCCACTACTAGGTATTTACCCAAAGGAAAAAGAGACATTTTAGTAAAAAGACACTTGCACTCGAATGTTTATAGCAGCACAATTCACAATTGCAAAGATGTGGAAACAACCTACAGGCCCATCAATACATGAGTAGATTAATAAAATGTGGAATATGTATACCGTGCAGCATGACTCAGCCATAAAAAAAATGATGATCCAGTATCTTTTGTAACAATTTGGATGGAACTGGAGAACATTCTTCTTAGTGAATTATCTCAAGAATGGAAAAAACACCACATGTACTCAATACTAAATTGGAACTAATCAGACAATACTTATGTGCACATATGGAAGTAAAACTGAAGAGAAACAAGTAGGTGGGAAGGTGGAAAAGGGGATGGGTAAATAAATTCACACCTAACAGGTACAGTGCACACTAACTGGGTTCAGGGCACACTTATAACTTTGACTCAAACTGTACAAAAGCAAAATATGTAACCAAAACGTGTGTACCCTGGCACATTCTGAAAAAATATTATTCAAACATATGTACTAGGGTTTATTTCTAGGCTCTCTGTTATGTTCCATTGGTCTGTGTATCTGTCTTTATGTCATTACCACACTGTTTTGATTACTGTAGCTTTGAGATAAATTTTGAAATCAGGAAATGTGAGTCTACCAACTTTTTCTTTTTCAAAATCATATTGGCTGTTCAGGGGTCCCTTGAGATTTCATAAGGATTTCAGGAGGGGCTTTTCTATTTGTACAAAAAACATTGTTAGAATTTTGATAGGGATTACATTGAATCTGTATATTGCTTTGGGTAGCATTGACATCTTAACAATATTGTCTTCTAATCCATGAACATGGAATATCTTTTTATTTATTTATGTCTTTAATTTCTTTCAGTAGTGTTTTGTAATTTTATTGTATAAATCTTCTTGCTAATTAAACCTTCCTGCTAATTCCTAAGTATTTTATTCTTTTTGATGCCATTTTAAATGAAATTTACTTAATTTTCTTTCAGATTGTTCCTTATTTTTGTATAGAAATGCAACTAATTTTTGTTTGTTGATTTTGTATCCAGTTGCTTTGCAAAATTTGTTTATTCTAACAGTTTTTTTTGTGGAATCTTTAGGGTATTCTACATATGTGATCATATCATTTGCATCCAGAGATAATTTTACTTCTTCCTTTCCAATTTAAATGCCTTTTATTTCTTATTCTTGCCAAATTGGTCTGGCTAGAACTTCTAGGACCATGTCGAATAGAAGTGCTGAAAGGTAGGGCATCCTTACCTTGTTACTGATCTTAGAGGAATAGTGTTCAGTCTGTCACCGTTGAATCATGATGTCCACTGTTGCTTTTTTATATATAGCTTTCAGTATGTTGAGGTAGTTTTTTTTTCCTGTTCCTAGTTTGTTGAGTGTTTTTCAATCATGAAAGGGTGTTGAATTTTGTCAAATGCTTTTTCTGCATCAGTGCACATAATTGTGTATTTCCTTTCTTCATTCTGTTAATGTATTACATTGTCAGTTTTCATATGTTGAACCATTCTTGTATTCCAGGAATAAATCCCACGTAGTCATGGTGTATAATCCTTTTAATGTGCTGCCGACTTTGCTTTTCTAGTATTTTATTGAGGGTTTTTGCATCAATCTTCATGGGAATATTGATCTGCAGTTTTCTTGTAGTGTCTCTCTGGCTTTGATATCAGAAAAATGCTGGCCTCATAGAATGACTTTGGAAATGTTCACTGTCTTTTTTTTTTTTGGAGAAGTGTGAGGAGCGCTCATGTTAGTTCTTTTTTTTAATGCTTAGTAGAATTCATCAGTGAAGCCATTGGGTCTATGGCTCGCTTTGTTTTTTGTTTTTTTTTGGAAAGGAGGTTTTTTGATTACTGATTAGATGACTTTACTAGTTACAGGTTTATGTAGATTTTCTTATGTAGATTGTCTTCATGTTTTGGTCTAATTGGTAGTGCATTTGTAGGAATTTTTTCATTTCATCTAGGTTATCCAATTTATTGGTGCACAGTTTTTCATAGTACTCCCTTTCAAACCCTAGTCGATTGAATATGTCAAGTCCTCAATTTCCTTACTTACCTTCTGCTTGGTTGGTTATCCATAATTCAGACTGAGGTATTAAACTCTCCAGTTGTTACTGTAGAACTGTCTACTTCTCCCTTTCATTCTGTCCATTTTGGCTTCATATATTAATATTTTGATTTTTTTTTAGGTGTGTAAGTGTTTATAGTTATATCTTCTCGTTATAGTGAACCTTTTATTAATAGTAATAACCATCTTTGTTGGAACATATTTTAAATTTAAAGTCTATTTTGTCTTATATTAGTATAGCCACCCTGTTCTTTTTTGTTTTCTATTTGCATAGAATATCTGTTTCCATCCTTTTACTTTCAACTTATTTGTATCTTTGGATCTAAAGTATTTTGTAGAGAGCATATAGTTTGGTGATTTTTTTTTTTAAATTCATTCTGCTCGTCTCTGTCTCTTGATTGGATAGTTTAATCCATCCATTTACAGCCATTTTTATAAACAATATACTACAGATGGCAAAGAGGTTTTGGGGCAGGAGATGAAATCTAAGACCTGATAGAAGCAAAAGTGAGACCTGGGATGCCATGTCTTCCCAATAAAACCATCTCATGGAAAGGGTACACAATGAAATATTTCCCTGCTGACATAAGGAGGCTTTTCTGTCCTTGGCCTGGTTCCTGATATGGAACTCCCCTGAGAATTTGTAACCACAGGGCTATCCTAAAGTGGGTTTGGGGCTTGAGTTTATACTTGAAAACCTCATAATCCAAGAAATTAATACAAAGTAGTTGAGGTTGGTACATATATTTATTATAATTTATAATATATAAAGGGTTTTTAATGGGGAAAAAACCCTTCTAGGGTTTTTCTAGAGATTGGGAAAAAAACCTTCTAAAAATGGGTTAAAACATAGTCATTGAAATTTAAAATTCAGTGGATAAGAAAAACAGGTTGGACACACTACTAAAAAGAAAAGTAGTGATTTGATATATTCAGGGAAATTACACATAAGAGCATGCAGATAAAAGAGAGATTAAGAGACTGGTAGGATATATTGGGAAGGTCCAACATTTGTCTAATTCTATTCTAGAACAAGAGAGGAATGAATGGGAGAGAGATTATTTATAAAAATAATGCTTGAGAATTTTCCAGACTTGATTGAAGACATAAAACCTTATACTGGGGAATACAAAACCTAAACCTGGATGATCACATTTAATCCATTCCTAAACATAGTGAAACATCAGAGGGAGTTGGATGAGTTTACTCAATAGATTGGTGGGTTGTCTTCAGCTATGATTCTGCAGTTTCGTAGGTTTGCCTGTGCTATAGTACCACCGGAGGAGTCTGGGTACATATGTATGAGGATCAGTTTCCCCAGGAGAAAGGAAACATTGTTTCTATTGTGCATTGGTATATACACACCAATCTTCTGATTGGTACTAGATTACCTGGTTCTTACCCTAAAACTTTTGGGTGGTGCCCAAATGGTGGGCTTTCAAAACCATAGCTCTTGGCTAGAAAGGCAGTGGGGCTTCCTTGGACAACATAGAAGCTACTCTGGTGCCGAATCATCTATTATAAGGGATTTCAGTATAGATCTGGGTCTTTTTAAATTTGGATATTTGTGGATATTTTCTGGACTATGCTTATGCAGCCTACCTGTGTGATATAGAATTCATTTAGTATAGATTAGGACTGTATTTGCTGTGCTTTTCTCAATGTGAATTGTTTGGAAGGTAACATTAAGTCTGAGGTTTTCTATATTTTACTCTAGGCAGCACACTTCTGCTTTTGTTCCTTCATCAGGACGAATTTACTCTTTCGGGCTTGGCGGTAATGGACAGCTGGGAACCGGTTCCACAAGCAACAGGAAAAGCCCCTTCACCGTGAAAGGAAATTGGTTCCCTTATAATGGACAGTGTCTGCCAGATACCGGTACGTTCTATTGCATTAAAGCTTTGCTATACATATTAAACTTCTTGTTAAAATGTTTGTCTTAAATGATGAACTTTCTGTATTTGAAAGAATTCTAAGATACATAATAAAGTATAGAACAATGTATATGGTTGCTTAGTTTGCTTATATTTACTTGTATGTGCATAAGGAAATTCTTGATAAATAAAGTAATAAAAGTAATTTCAGAGGATGGATCATATGGGAACTAGGTGGTGGCTAGATACCAGTGGGAGGAAGATGGTTTTTTTAAATTGTCGTAATATATACATAACATAAAATTTGCAAATGTAATCATTTTTAAGTATACAATTCAGTGGTGTTTTGTATATTCACATTGTTATGTAACCAATCTCTAGAACTCTTCATTTTGCAAAACTAAAAGTCTATCCCCATTAAACAACAACCCTCTATTCCCTCCTCCCCCTGGCCTTTGGCAAGCACCATTCTACTGTGCGACTCAAAAAGAAATTGGTGCAGCCACCACCTGATCAGTCAGTAGCCATCAACATTGAGGCAAGACCCTCCACTGGCAAAAAGATCAGTACTTGATGAAGTTTCAGATGATTGTTAGCTTTTTTTTGAGACAGAGTCTCATTGTGTTGCCTGGGCTAGAGTGCCGTGGCGTCATCCTAGCTCACAGCAACCTCAAATTCCTGGGCTCAAGCGATCCTCCTGCCTCAGCCTCCCAAGTAGC